GCATGCTTTTATTTGGGCCATTAAACTTAGATGACCCAGGAGTAATGTTAGGCTCTTTTGTAATCACTTAGTAATGCCTGGCGGTTTCGTACTCTGATACGTGTACTGATGTGAAAACACAAATGCAGATACAGACTTAAACATATAAGCAATTAGATCAACATGAAAAAGAAATAAACAAATCATTAAATTTTTTCATTTTCAGTTTTGAGGATACTCTGAATGTACTCTGAAGGTACAGCTGGCTGGTCTTCTTACCTTAGTGATAACTTGTAGCTTATGCAAGAATGAGTTTTAACCTTGATGACTCCAGTTATATAATGAGGGAAAGATCAGATTGTATTCATTCGACCTGAATGTAGATACCTCACGGAACGATTCCGGTTGAGTGTCTTAGCAAAATCAATCTTCTAAAAATCAACGAGAATCGCCTGAAGTCTTCTGGTGAGAATGACCTATGAATCTTTTCAGCAGACGCTTTCACACTTTGAGTGGTAGATTGAGGTGATAACTGATGAATTAAGTGAATCTACATGATGCAAGTAACTCACACCGAATCCATTCAGGGTTTTCGCAGACAACAGTTAGGGATAGTCACGATCGCAATGCGATAAAAGGGTTATTTACGCACTGAAACTCGGTCCAAATGGCCAGGCAAAGTGCTGATAAAGTAATGAAATATGGGTTTCGAGGGGTCTATTGTTTCATAATTGCTTAGCTTACTTACATTTCGAGTGAAAGTGCTTGGCAAAGAGAATCGAATGTTGATCCCACAGAAGACGATGGCGGATTCTTCATCGGCTCATCCCTAAAATGCCATGTATATAGTCTAGAAGTAGTTATCTTGACTCATTAGCTTGAATATGATTGAAAGGATGATACCCTGCTCTGATGATGTGCGTCATGCGACAGACGCGAGGTTAGCACGTTTTCACTGGAATCGAAATAGATTATCTCGAAAATAGTGTCAGCAAGAATGTTTCAGAAGAAACAATCGACAACTGGTCAAGAGGAATCCGCCGCCGTCTTCTGGTGAGATGAAGCTTCGAATCTCTTACCCAAACACTTTCACTAAAAATGGAAGTAAGCTCAACAAGTAGAGAAATAGGCTCGATTGACTAACTAGACATGGACTTATCATGAGAGTAGTCAAATGCCCTAAAAGCTCGGAAGGGATGACGGAAACCAATTAAAGGAAGATATGAAGACCAAGATAGTGTCGCCCTAGGTATTGTCGCAGTCTCCTTTCGATTTGTAGAAGTGGGTTGGCCTCGTTGTCGCAACTTGGTCTTGTTGTCAAGGCGACTTAATAAAATGCACCTTGTCCGAAGTCCTCTGCCATAGTATTTATCATAATTCCCAGCACCAGACAGTGGACTTGGTACATTCTCAGACGTTCCGCCGGCATCTACGCTACGAACTCGTTAAAGAGACAAGTGAAGTCAATCCCTCGACGAGCGTTCTTCCGAAAACGGTTACACTATCACTCCTTTTTCGGTCCTGGCCTATCTATCTGCTTTTTACCCTCTTATCCCACTCCCGCCCTATCACAACTTCTCACTTGTGTGTCCTTTTGTGGCAAATTTAGTGTGGCCTAATCACACTTGCTATTCACCCCGACCCCCTCTCTTTCGATCGGCTGATCCGACTCGGGCTTCCAATCCGGATCCCCTCATTGTCTCGTAGATCCGTTTCTTCTCTTTCTGGTTGACCGATTTCACTCGGGTCCAGTCACAGTGTACATTTCACTCCATGTTCTATTTCTCAAAGCCATAGAAGCACATACACCTCCGCTTCACTGAGCAGAGCACCGAAGCTATGATTCCCATGTTTGCAGATATCAGGCCTTCCCTTCACTGGTCATCTCCTCGATTAAACCCATGTCATATGAGCAAACTGTGGACGCCTATCTCTGGTCGCATGCAGCATCTCAAGTGGATTTCTGGTACATTTTGGCGATAACGCCGAATTTCCGTGACGGTTTACTTATCCGCCGACTTATGTTTCGTAATTAAGTAGAGTTTCGAAACTTCCAGTAAATCAGTAATATAAGATGTGTTCACCCTATTTCGTTTAAGGTGATGAAGGACTGGAAGTAGTTGTACTGGTTTATTCGAAACGGACATCATTCACTGACAACGTCTTCGCTTGATTGCTTGTCCCAC